ACCGGCCGGTCAGTTCCACCACATACACCGGATTCACACCAGTCCGTATAGGATCCTTACCAAATGCTAGACCAAACGGCATCTAATGCGGACGACGCTTATTGACCTCCTGGTTGTCAGGGACGTCTCCCTTGACTTCAGGTGGAGCCTCCCGGGTGGCTAACCCGGTTCCTCCACGGAGAATTCTCTACCAGAATCAGACAGGTTTGGGAACAGGCTCCAAGGCCCCCTGCAAGTCCCAAACGGAGGCGGCCAACTCTCCTTTCCAGAGCAAGACAGGTCTGAGACAGGCTCTTTAGCCCCTTGCAAGTCTCAGACGGAGGTGATCAATCCTCCTTCCGCGGCAAAATGCAGAGCCTCCCTTTGTCGTGTCTAATCTGGTGTCCACCAGGCTGACCCATCCCTGACGAGCCCCCAATGTAAGGGTCCAGAGATCGGTCTAACTGATGGAGACACAGAAAAGACGGCGACAATGCAACTGCAAAAGAGGCTTTTATTTTTCCAGCTAGCTGGGGTCCAAGTTTCAGCCCGTCGCAGCGGGCCTTCACAAGGACCCCGAGCCTAAGATAAAGGGATCTTTTATAGTTCAGGATGTTCTCTAGACTGTAACACACAAAGGAAGGGGGGGTATGAGAAACGAGGGTACAGCTTTCACCCCCTGCTCAGGTCTAGATAAGGGCTCTCAGCTAAGGATTTGGATGACCTTGCCTCGGAGGTGCTGGGCCCTCCCGTTTTCCACTTATCTGAGAGTTCCCAGACTCCTGGTTCCCGTCCTTGAGGCCCTAACAAAGTGGGCTCCGTCCCTGAAGACTCAACAGGGTAGTGATTAAGCTAACTTCCCCAGCATTCCCTAACATGGCGGTGATTTTGCTAATTCGGCCTAACACTCTGTTCAGATATCTTGTAGTCAACAAGGTCTCCCCGACCACACTATTAAAATTTCACACTGCCTCATTCTTTAACTGGTATTCCACATCTATCTTCCCTGTTTCTCCTTCACAGAACTTACCTTCTAATACACTTTAATATATTAATAATATTATTACAGTGGCAAAAGGAAAAACCCTCGAAAGGTTTATGTCCTAAAGTCTGATGAGATAAACTGATAACAGATTAACAGGGGGAAAAAAAGCATACTAATTTATTTATCTGTATGGGACATCACAGAAAAGTGAGAAAACAAGAATCCAATGAGGTCTAGAAGCTTCTACATTCAACTTCAAAAGGGAGAAGGAGGTGGGACATGTAGGCAACCCAGGGAGAGCAAAGGATTATGAGAGGGCCTTCAGAAGAATAGGGCAAGGTACTAACTTCCAGCCTCCTCTAGGTTTAATTCCTGTTGCTTTTCAATTTTCTCTGATAAATAAAAAATTGCAGGGAGAGTTTTCATGATAATTAGCTGCTTTTTGGAGAATTTACCACTAGTCAGATAAGAGAAATTTAGGAAAAGACTCCTTGTGCATTTACTATTTCCCCAAATGCCTTCAGTTTAAGTAATCAGCACACCAATGTGGCATATTTTGGGGTGATATTTCCTGGATTCCTTCAATATATACTTAACTGATTTTGTTTTCCTTGACTTCTTCCTTGGAATATAAATTTAATAAGCATTAGAATTTGGTATGTTTTAGTCATGCTGGGTGCCTAGAATAGTGCTTGACACCAAGTAGATGCCTAATAAATATTTATTGAATGAATGGTAATGGAAGTAGAGCTTCCCACTGCTTCGCTTACTTCCCCTCACAAGACCACTTGCAAATGGTCATAATGGAACTGGGCCCACTTCCTTTGCCAGGATCCAATTTGAAACATGTGCCCTTCATTTCCCCAGAGAGGTTAGAGTTCTCAAATCCCTTCCCTGCTTAATTTTCCCTTTCCTTAGAGGTTCGGTTTCCTCTCCTTAACAAGTCATACCCTACCTAACTATGAGACTTTGTTTCTGCTTCACTTGATCTCTAGACTCCGTCCCAACTCCTGTTTTTTAAGGGCCCGTATTTTACATACAACATAATATTAAATATTTCATTATTATCTAACTATAGAGCTGTTTAATTTTGACTACTTAATGAGGATGAATTAAAAAATACTAAATTCATATCTTTTTATGCATAAAAACAGTGCAGCTCATTCATATCAAATATGAATAAAAAGTCACAACACAAAACCTTTTCAAAAAAAGATGCAATTTAATAATGAAAGACAGTATTAGTGAAGTTTTTATGTACATATCTTTTGTGATATTAAACATGTGTTATCAAATACATATACCTATGTGGATAAGAATACAATTTTTGTCACAGAAGAGTTGTGCTTTCAAAGGGTTTTTTAAAAGTCAAAAGAGATAAAGTTCTTAGAAAATGACACTTTGGAGTTAATGGCATCAGAGTCACATTTACTAACAAGAAAAATATCAACAAAATTTTAAAGTCATCTTAATATAAGCCTTACTGTAAATGCACAATTCTTTTGAACACAGTGCATAAAAAAAAAATAACATCACAGGCATTACAGCTTTCATCTTTGGGTGACAAAAGAACAAATTTGGCTAATGGGGCTGAATTATAAAATTTCCTGCCTGAAAAATTCACCGAGACTATACATATAAGTTCCCTTAAATTATGTATAGCCTTTTACTTTCAAAAAGATACATAATTATTATTATTTTTTTTTAGGTTTTTGTCATAGGGCATGTACACTTGCAAGAGAGAGAGACAGAGAGAGGAAAAATGAGACATCATCCCCAGGGGGGATGCCATGCCACATTTTCTTCTCTGCCATTCTTCTCTTGGGATTTTGGGCATGCACACCTGTACCCACTGTGGTTTTCAAGCCTCTAGATCTTTGACTCAAACTGCAGACTGCCATGTGGGAATCCAGTCCTTTAACTTCTACAGCACTTGGTGGCCCCATATAAAAATATTTTAATCAATTCCCTAAGAATTAGAGTTGGTTGTAACAAAAGTCTATTTTAGATTTTTTTTAATATATAAACATAACAACATTTTAGCTTAAAAATAATTTCAAAACAATAGTAGGTATTAAAAAATAGCCATTTGGCTGAGGATAATTTTTTAAAGTCAAACAAACAAGATTTTTTTCTCCCAAAACAGTTGCCTCATGTTGGCTTTTTTTTTCTTATAAAAATCAGTTTACCATTTATTAGAATCCCAGCCCAGGAACCAGCCTGTAAATGTGGGTGGCTCATGACCCTGCTTTATGATGACAATTGGTGTCCTCTTATCTCTTCCAGAAGGGTCTGTCTCAAGGTACATTTTGGCTAAAAAGAGTTGCAAAGACAAATTCAATTAGTTTTGGTCAAACCAAAAGAACTATGAAAATTCTTCCAATAAAAGTAATAATTAAATTTTATATTTTAAGAAGTTTCTGTCATAGGGCGTGTGCACTCACCAGAAAGACAAAGAAAGGAAGAAAGAGAAAGTGAGAAATCATTCCTGAGGGGAATGGCCCTGCTGCAGTCCCTTCTCTTCCTGGGATCTTGGGCAGGACTCAAACTGTGGTTTTCCATGTGGGAGTTCATTGACATAACCACTATGCCATCTGCTGTCCCCAGTAATTAAATTTTTTATCACTCCTAAGTAGCCAAATATGAACAGTTTCTTACTGATTTCTCTCATCTGCCATGGAAAGCACCATGAGAGTCTTATTATTACTTCAAAAATTCCAAGTTTCATGAGATTATCTTTATGATATAATTATTACTTTATTTTTCAATGAAAAATATTGTGCAAGAAAGAATAGCATAACTCAAAATGTAGTTTAAAAAATGTAGGTTAGGACTAGCAGGTGGCATCGTGGTTATGCCACTGGACTCCCACATGGCTTGGTTCAAGTCCTGGACCTGACGGCGTGAAACTCGCTAGGGGCATGTGTATGCATGCATAAAATCCCAAGAGGAGAATGGAGAAGGGATTGTGACATGGCCATCAATTGGGAGGTGATTTCTCTCTTTCTCTCTGTCTCTCTGTGTTTCTAGTGAGTGTATGTGTCTCTTTTTTTTTTTAAAGAGGCTTTTGCTATAGGGTGCGTGTGCTTGCCAGACAGACAGAGAGAGACAGAGAGACAGAAAGCTAGAAATCACCCCCCAGGGGGGATGGCCATGCCGCAATCCCTTCTCCTCCATTCTCCTCTTGGAATCTTGGGCATGCACGCACACGCGCCCAGCGTGTTTTAAGCCACCGGGTCCAGAATGCGAACCGTGGTCGACTATGTGGGAATCCAGCGACATAGCCATTACGCTAACTGCTGGTCCTGTGTGTGTGTTTTATAACAAATCTTAAAAAAAAAAAATGTAGGTTATGGTAGTTATGAAGGTTTTACTATTCTCATAATAAAACAAGGGTTTAATTGAATTATTTTTTTTCAGAATAAGTTCACATACTTATATCCTAAGTTAGGCAACAAAACATATTTTTCTTGTGTCCATTCTGAAATTGTTTAGTACTGAAAACTTTCACTACTCCACAGGGACCAGCAGTTGGCATAATGGCTATGTTGCTGGACTTCCATGAAGTCAACCATGGTTCAAGTCCCAGACCCGGTGGCTTAAACTCACGCCAGGCGCATGTGCATGTGTACCCAAGAAGATCCTGAGAAGAAAATGGAGAAGGGATTGCAGTGTGGCCATCCCCCCTGGGGGGTAATTTCTTGCTTTCTGTCTTCTCTGTCTCTGTCTTTCTGGCAAGCACACGTGCCCTATAGCAAAAATATCTCAAAAAAAAATTTAACTTCTCTTTAGTTCTGAGGATGAAAGTTAAGTCATTTCTCTATTTTGATATATATTTTTGGAATATATATCAATATATATAATGAAAATGGGCAGTCGGGCACTCAGTAATGACCATGTTGGGTTATTACAAAATCATCCATGAGGTCTGTCTTACCAGATTTCAGAGATTCTGTTTTCTCAACTTCATTGGCATCTTTGCCAATCCAAATAAATATCTGAAAAACAAAACATTAATTATGTACCAATTTCAGAGGGTTGACCCAGTGCTAGGCCTAGTGCAAAGTATTTTCTAGACAACATTGCTCCATTAATCTTCACACCCCAGAAGTTAGAGAGGTAAAGATGTGGGGATCTACAAAAGTTTGATCACTTTTCTAGTGTTCACATTCATCAAGAGATGCCTACATTTATATACAGCCAGTTTGACTCCATATTTCATACTCTGACATTTTATGTTTATATAGTAGTTTCTAGTTTATTAAGTGGTCTTTCAAAAAAGTAACAGATTGACTTATAATTCTTAAATACATGAAGATATCTTATTGACATGAAGTTCTAAGTTTTGTTTCTAGAAATGAATGATCTATTCAGTTGAGAAGAATCTGTGACTGGACAATCCAAATATGGTCATTATAGACCAAGAATCTAAGGAATAAATAACCAAAAGGCTTATCAATTAGAAGCAGACTTAAATGTAACGATCTCTGTGGTTAACCGAAAGACTAGACCTAAATCAGATAACTGTTTTATAATTGTTTTATATAATTTAGTTCCTAACATGTTTTTCTTTCATTATTGTTACATAGAGGATTAACAAAATTATTAGATATGGCATATTTTACTAAACTTAAACCTATTCTGTGCCTGTTTCTTTCCCAGAAGAGAGGCCTCTATAACTTTTTGAAAAATTAAAAAGAAATTCTGAATATTTCAGTCTCTTCCATGGCAGTGTACTTATTAATGTGCTTATCAGTTAAATGAATGTCTGAATAAATTAGAAGCAATATTTTTATAAATAAAAAGAGAAATAGAAGATTTTTTGCTTAAAATTAGAGCCAAAGATGGTAGCTATAAAATTATTTCTATAGTAAAAAATCAACTTGCCCTATGTATCAGTTTTATTTTGGTCAAACTGTGTTGTTTCTTTTAAATAAAGCCTAAATTCTAGACCCATATATTATTAGAAAAGCCATTTCTCAAAGCAGATTCTTCCACTTCCCAATCATAAGTGAGCTCTTGTTATGAACAGAATGTAGTTTCTACCTGTTCCCAAGCATCTAGTAACATAACATCATCTTCTGCTAAATCGTCTTGGGTCAACTCTCCTGGAACTTCTTCAATCTGAAATATATAAAAAGCTCTATGAGTAAACAGTAAGTCAGTAGTTTATTTAATATATAGAATACTGTGGTCATCAAGTGGTGTAGTGGTTAAGGTACTGGACCTCCCATGTGGTGGATCGTGGTTCGAGTCTCAGACCCAGTGGCCTGAATTTCACACCGGGTACATGTGCATGCAATCCCAAAATCCTGAAAGGAGAAGGGATTGTGGCATGGCCATCCCCCCTGGGGGGTGATTTATCACTTTCCCTCTGTCTCTTTCTGTGTCTCCAATGAGAACACATGCCCTATAGTAAAAATCTTAAAAAGGAAAACAACTATACACACACACACACTAAAAATAACTTATGTTATTTTGGATTGCAATGAAAAAAATATTTGAGGGACAGCAGATGGTCTAATGGTTACGTCTCTAGATTACCATGTAGTCAACCGCAGTTCAAATCTAGGACCTGGTGTCTTAAAACTCACACTGGGCATATGTGCATATGTGCAAAATCCCAAGAGGAGAATGGAGGGGAAGGGACTGTGGCATGGCCATCCCCCCTGGGGGGTGATTTCTCGCTTTCCGTCTCTCTGTCTCTCCGGCAAGCTCACTCACCCTATAGCAAAAATCTCTCTAAAAAGAGAAAAGAAAAGAAAAGAAAATTTGATAGTCATTTCCTTCCTCATCATCTTTTTCTTGTTGGAGAGGTTTTTTTTGATATAGGGCATGTGCGTTCGCCAGAAAGACAGAGACAGAGAGACAGAAAGCTAGAAATCACCCCCAGGAGGATGGCCACACTGCAGTCTCTTCTCTTCCCTTCTCCTCAGGATCTTGGGAACACATGCACACATGCCCAGCATGAGTTTAAGCCACCAGGTCCAGGACTCGAACCCTGGTCGACTACATGAGAGTTCAGTGACATAGCCATTACACTAACTGCTGGTCCCTGTCATGGCTTTTTAGACAACCCGATTAATCTAGGTGAAGTCATCTCTTCCCCCATGATGGGATTAGTGTCCATATAAAAAGAGAGACTAGAATTTGATCTTTTAGCCATGTGAGGATATAGTGAGATAGCCAGGAAGGAGACCCTCACTAGAAAAGGATCTGTTGGTGTCTTGACCTTGAACTTAGCCTCTAGAAGTGTGAGAAATAAATGTTTGTTGTTCAAACCACCTAATTTGTGGTATGTTTGTTACAGCAGCTTGACTAAGAAGACATTTACTCAGATACTCCTAATTTTACCTCTAATTGCCTTTGAAGTCAAAGCCTATAAATGACTATAAAACATTCCTGTTGGCTTCAGTTGATTTGCAAGTACATATATAACTTTCTGTGATTTTGCCCATGACCATAATAGTTTCACAGTATTTGTATTCAGTCAACATAGTAAAAGATTTTTATTCTCCTGGGAAATTGAAGTGTAAAGTTTAGTTAGGTTGGAAACATTTTTCTGCCCACAGAAAGTGTCAAAAAAAATTAGCA